AGCTGCCATGGCTGGAAAGGGTTAAAAAATGTTTTATTTCTTCTGTGTCCACACGAAGTTTCAGAAACTGCATTATTTACCAAATTTCGAAGTCTGTGTCATTCGTAAAAGAAGAATTTGAAATTTTCTGAGAACAGGAATTCAGGGGTTGGGGCAGCTGTAGTGATGTTTCTCCTTTAGAAGGTTCTCTTCAACTGTTCGGTTTATTTCAGTTTGTTTACCATAGGTCTTTTGTTTCGCTTTTAAGAGGAGAGTGCTATGTGAGAGGGCGTAAGGAGTATTTGGAAGTTTGAATGTAAAATGAAAAGGCTTTTAGTAAGAGAAGCATAGACTGGGCAGTGTTACCTGCATTATTCAGGGAAGCTTTTCTGTTGTGGTTCTTCATAAATGTAAATTGAGTCTGAGTTGGGGCCAAAACTTCGACCTAGCACTGACCTGTGATACTGAATACAAGTCTGTGTGGACCTGAGGATTGGCCTGAGGGGCCTGTTGTGCTAAAATAAAGAAATACTTTGGATTTTTGTTGAGTAGCCTGTTGTAACGCACAAGTTACCTTCACAGACTATTAAGTGATGCATGAAGTTTGTTTCCATTTGCAATGGCTCTGTGGTTTGCAATAGCTTGAGACTCACTGGGTTAGAATGCACAGGCAGCAGCAGTCTGTGTTCTGTTAAACAGGTGGCCTTAACCAAGTAAGTTAAAGGCATCATATTTATTTGTTACCATGTCTGTATTTTGAAGCCTCAGGATAGTGACTCTTTATAGTGGAACTGCTGCTTACCTGTTCAGAGTTAACTGAAGAAATTGAGGGTTAATGTGTGTATTTCTGTAGTGGAAAGAGATTTTTAATAACTCTGACGCATTAAACGAAGTACTCTAACTAAAAGATTACCTGGTCTTTTGTGAGTCTTTTGTACTCTATTTTATGAAGAAGATTTTCTTTAACTTCGCTCTGTAATCCATTAAAGTTTAATTTGTCATCAGTATAAATTTAAATGTCAGCATCAGTTTGTTTCAAATAGGGCTAATGTGACAATTGCCAGCTGAGTAGAGCAATGTGAGAGGTGACTCTTGAGAGTAACTGCTCTGAAGGTTGATTGTGTTGTGCTTAAGTGAAATGATTACGAAGTTTTTTGCAAGTCTTAAAGCAGCATTGATCATTTAGAAATCATTAACATACTTGGCACCAGATACCTTCAGGCACATCTGGTCATATTAGTCTTCTCATTCTGATTTTTTTCATATAAACTATAGTGGTCATTGTTGCACTGCCTTATTGGATCAGAGATAACATGCCAGCCATCATCTTTTCTGAAAAAAAAAAAAAATCTACAAATATCCTTTGAATTATAATATCTCTCGAGTAGCATGGATTTAAATAGGCAAGGTAAAAGCAGAATTGGAAGGGAAGTTGGGTAATTCCGAGGCAGTTGGCTATTTAATAGGTGAGAGTTTCAAGTGATCAGTGGATACCTGAGCAGGACAACATCTGTGAGCTGGAAGTTGGGTAAAAGGCATGGGAATGGGAGAAAGCGAATAGGGTGGTGGGAGAGAACTAGCATAATGAATGTGGATTTTGGATAACTTACTCTTAAAGCAGAAAGAGGATCTTGGTCTCAGCTCTGTGTTCTGCCATACCTGGGTGGAAAGTCTGAGCTTTCAAAGTTAATATGGTAGCAAGTCTTTGGTATAAACTTTATTTCCCTTTATGCTTGTCTGCCAAACTAGTTTTTATCTGAAAGTTTCTAGGTCAGGTCTGATGAAAAATGCTTTTGTGCTGTGTTTGTGTAAATAAACATGACAGTTGTAAACATTCTTTTGATCTTTGAGTCACTGTAGTTTTAAAATTTTGTCTTGCAAGCTATTCATAGCTTAAAATGCTATTCTAGTGTGATTGCTGTCAGATAAAAACAATTTCCTGCCTTGGAAATCTTCCCCCTTGCTGCTTAGCAACCTTAATGAAATTAGTATTTCTTTGAGTTAGGAAGTTGATTAAACTGTAAGACTTGCAGGAAGATGGGTAAAGAAAAATTATTTGGTGTTGCATTTGTGAGTAAACTGATGCTGTTTAAGAGCATTAAATAGTGGAATGAGTTGCATTTACCAGTAGTGGTGTTTAATCTTTGGTCAAGTGTTTTGAGACTGTTAGGTATTTGGAATAATGGAACAGTGTTAACAGCCCTATCCCTGTCTTTTTCTGTAAGTGTAACAACCTGTGCCCAGGTCATGTCCAGGGAATGGGTGGGCACAGAATTACCACAACTCCAGGGTGGATGGGAGCTTCCTGGTCCGTGTGTGGTTTACAGATCATTGCTGTCTGTTGAACTTCATTACCAATCTCTTTTTTTTTTTTTAAAAGAATTTTTCAAAAACTTTTGCCTTTCTGTGAAAGAAGTGGAATAGAAGCACAGAAAGGAGGTTGGCCATTTTCTAACTTGTGAACTCGCTTTGTTTGCCATCTTTTAGTCCTTTCTTCCTTTACAGATAGATTTTTCTGTATTGCCATTGTTTCTCCATGTGTTTTCTGTTCTGTACACCTGTTTCTAGTTATGCTGTATGCCATTTAAAGTAGGTGTCAAGAGGGTGTTTGCAGGGTTGAAGATTAGTGTCTCCTATTCAGTTTCAGTTACTCCAAGAAGTTTTAGTTAATTTAAAGGATGATTTAGTTAGACTACTGTGTGCTAAACTGGGGTTCTGCGAAGGTTCCTTCAATTGTTTGATGTCTTTCTAGTAGGCCTCAAACAATCAGTCCAAGTGCCTGAACTGTCTGGAAAGATCAGTTTAATGGATTGAAAAATGTTCAGGATGACAGAGTCTCTTTGTAAAATATCACCTTCCTCACTCTGTCTCTGTATGGAAATACGATGCTCCTTCTCTAGAGTATCACCTGCAAACCCTGAGCCTTGGTTGGGAAGGTGGTGACACTGTATACATTCTCAAGACTTGAATGTCATATAACACACCAGAGCAAGCAGTTCCATTTGTGAGGAGTATAATCTCTTTGAGCTGTCTTTTGGGATTACTTGATTAAAAAGTGTGGGGTGGTTGTGCAGTGTCCCTTCTTGGAGGGTTTTAAGACTTGTCTGAATAGAACCATTAGCAACTTGACCTGACTTCATAACTGAACCTGCTTGCAGCAGGAGGCTGGACTACAGATTTCCTGTGGTCACTTTCAACCTGAAGTGTCTCTTGATCCTGTGTTTCTCTGCAGCCCACAGGCTGTGGCCATACCGTTGATTGACTACTGAAGCAGAGGAGCTTATGTCTGGTTATTTCTGCAGGGAGTGCTGTAGTTAGTGTCACTTCAGTGAAAAACAGTAATTTTAAAAATAAATTAATTTTCGTGACTAAACAAAGGGGGGGAAATCAGCACTTTAATTGTTTGCATAATAGTAATAAAATCTATCATGCCTGTGAGTTTGTGCAATAGGTTTTTAGTTTGCACATGTGTTGTCTGATTTTAAAAAGTGGTTATGTAAAGAGACTAATTGGAAATAGAATGCGGGAGTCGTATTGCTTCTCTCTCAAACAAATACTGCACCTTGTCCTGTGTGTTACTTGGCAAAGAAATGTCTGGTGCCAACTGAAAGCTTTGTTACAGAGAGGCACTGTAAGAGTAGCTGATACTTGCACAGTGTCAACTTTTGAGTAAGGACTGATTAGGTAACTTCTCAAATGCCATTCCAACCTTATATTTATGGCATTTTAAATAAATATCTGTGACATGTTTAAGTAATTACTTAAGAGATTCAGGGCTTCTGTAGACTTTCCAGAAGTATTGGCCATCTGTATAGTACAGCTCTTGATAATAGCCAACTGTGAAATGGAAGCAAGTATTATCATGATCCTGGAAGTCTGTACTTGATGGCATTAGGGACTGGTTTGCAAGTTTAGTGGACTTCAGGTGTATGGGACTTATATCTCTACACATTGGCAGCATTTATCTGTAAAAACAGAATATAATTGAATTACTCTTGATTTAAGCTTGCTTTCTCCCCTCCCCCAATTGTTGACAGCACATTCCTCCTTAAAGTATCCCTGAGTGAGTATGTGGGTCATACTGTGTGCAGACATTCCTCAATATTTTTGTGTTGTCTCAGATACTCAAATATTAAAAATCTTGCAAGAACACTTGGTTGACTATGCTATAGGCAAACCAGAATTTTTTAATAAGATTTGTGTCTTAGGTGTTGAACAATGGAGTACAAAAGTCGATACATGTATTCCCAGGTACTGATAAGTAGATGTATTGGGTCAAGTGCTCTGTTCTGGCATTCAGGCAGACAGCTGTCAGTGCAGAAATACAGATGAAAAAGCACGGTAGGTGTGGTGTGGTTCACCAAATAAATGTGGTATGCAGTTTATATAAGATCTATACACTTCAAGCTTGAAAAATAAATGTTTTCAAAGGATTTAAATGACAAAATAGTAGCTGTTCCAACTTTTTCTTTGAAAACTTTTGTCCTTTAGTTTACTATATTCAAGCTAAAAAGCATCCATTCTATGATTTGTGCTGATTGCCACATTTAGGTTTCCAGTGTACTCCATAGTTTACTCAATACCCATGTTCAGGTTATTATTGCTTTCTCAGTGCCATATTGTTTATGCATGTGAATCATGTTAATGTTTCTTAGGAAACTCAGATAAGCCTGTGTGATGTCAGTAATGCCAAATGCTTGATGTCTTAAAATGTAATAAGTTTATTTTGGCTATGTATAAGCTACACTTTATACCTTATAGTTCTTTCTATCACCCTCTTTTGTTCTGTATCATTTTCCTGGGGTTTGCTTGCACCTGTTCTTCAAAGAGCAGAGTCTGAGTGTCAAAACTAATAGGGATGAGTCTGTCTTTCATGTTTTCAGTGCAGGAATGGTAGTTGACTAGTGATGCTATTCAAAAGTGTGTGAAGGCAGGAGAACTGCTTGGAGAACACAGTAAGCCTCTTTTTCCATTTGATTTCAGGTGGAGATGGAGATAACTTACTGTCTGTCATTCTTCACAGGGTTACACATCGTTCTGGAATGATTGCATCTCCTCAGGATTGCGTGGCTGCATGTTAATCGAGTTGGCATTGCGGGGGTTTTTTCGGAATGAGGCGCAAGAGTCTGTTAACAAGAAAGGTAAGTGCAGGAAAATGATCACACCTACTTGTGTGATGCTCCAGGCAATACAGGAGCTATAAATCACAACTGCTTGTAAGAAAGAGGCTGGCTTTTTTCTTCACACAATGATTCTGAGTAGTGACCTAAGTTTGATACACAAAGTTAAAAAGCGTTTCAATGGTGAGATGAAGGGCCTTGGAAAATGTGCAGTACTTGTTCTGTGCTCCTCTTTGTTCTCTGGATGTGTTCTTGGTACTGCTGGGAGCTGTGGACAAGCAGTTGGCTGGGGTGGCTCTGGCTGGGGTGCAGTGGCAGCAGTTACTGGCGGGAGTAGTCTGCTGAGGAATTGGCTTTTGCAGTGCTGGTGAGATGTGGGCTGAAACTGAAAGGAATGGCTAACTGACATCCTGCCAGCTGTGTCCTGCAATCTACCAGTTCAATCCTGGAGTACACAGTGGTGCAGTTTGTGCTTGCGGCTCATGAGAAGGAAATCATCCTTCTACCTTGGGCTGCTGAGAACACAAAATTGAATTTAGTTTAAGCATGTGACTGTTGTGTTAAATTGGTTGTATTCTCTGACATTTAAGATGGCTGTATTTCCAAGGTCCTTTATTGAATTAGGCTGAAGATTTGAGGCCTTTATTTATTACTTTTACCACTGGATTTTTCCTTTGTACAAAATGTTCTAAGTGACACCTTTTGAAGAACTTTTGCTTCATCAGCATGAGAGGATACTTGTAAAATAAGCTGAATGAAAACATGGTCAAATGTTGTCTATCCACCACAAATAAATTCTCTTTTATGGCACATTTCCTTGTCAATATTATTTTTTGCTAAATATTAAGGAAAGCATACAAATTCCCCAACCTGCTTCCAGCTTCCTCTGCTTCAGAAAAATCAAACCTCTGTTCAGAGAAACAGCCCCTGCTTCTTCTAGCCTCTTTTAAGCATATTCAGCATTCATTGGTTTGCACAATTTTTTTTCCTCCAGAGCTTTTGGCTCCTTAGGCATTCAGTAATGTTCCTTAGGAGTTATTTTAATTCTGTGCAAATCTTGTCAGCTTGATCTACTTGAAATTTTAACTGGGGGGTTTGGATTGTGTTTTTGGTTTCTTTTTTTTATTCAGGAAAGTGGAAAAATAACTTGTGTGTATCTTCATTGAAGAATACAAGCAAAATTGTTGGCTTCTTTTGTGGTGTCTGTGTTGTGTTTATTTTTTTGTTTGTTTGTGGCTGGGTGGGTTTTTGATATTTTTAAAAATTTTTATCACGTGGTTTTGGGTTTGGGTAGATGTATTTGTTTAAGGTGATCTAAAAGCTGCCTGGTATTAAAGGATTTCTTCTTTCTGATGTCATAAGGTATTTGAGAGCTTTTGTTCAGGCAGGAATTTTTTTTCAGGTTCGACAAAAAAGGCATTAATTTAATGCTCAGATGAAGATTGGTTTCTGCTCAAGCACTCTCCTGCAAATAAAATCCCTAACTGTACCACCTCTCAATTTAGAAATTCTTGTGAATGACCTGTGTTGTTTTGTACCTTATTTTAAGTTTTGCATTAACACCAAATTTCAGGCTTGTTTCTCTGTTGGCTAGATTTAAGTGTCTCAACTCTGAAGCATCCTCCATGGCGTGCCTCTGCAAACTTTGCTCCGCGTGCCCTTAGCTTGAGCTGTGAGTGAAATACTGTGCTCAGTAGTGGGATGAGCTGTCTAAGGCATCCAAGGTTGTGATTCACTGGCAATACAGTTTTCTATAGCTTCTGCCTCACAGGCTAGCCCTCTTTCTCCTCGCCCCAGGTCCATCCTTGATGGTTTTTTTGGAAGGTAAAACCTCCTTAGAGCTCAAAACTTTGATTTGTGGATCAAAACTCTGTGTCTGCAAGCTGTGGAAGAGTTTAGGCTTTGACTATTTTAGCCTGTGCTGTAGCAGAGAAGGGTCCTGTGCATGTGAAGAGGCTTTATTGGAGTCCCCTCAAGTTGTTACTAGCTTTTGTGCAGCCTTGTCAGGTAACCCCTCCGGCTGAAAATTCATTTACTTTGATCAGTTTTAGTTTTTACTTGAAACACGTTCTGGATCTTGTCATCAGGAGGGGCACAAGTGACACTGCTGACACAAGCAGGAAGGTGAGGACAAGAAGAGGGTGGAACTAGTTCTTTGGGCAGTAGTATGGATTTATAACCAGCTCACAATACAATTGATTTAGAAAGAATGGCAGCTACAATGATTCCCATTTGAGGCTGTGAATCAGGTTGATCTTTGCTGATAATTTTTTGCAGTTTTTAAGCCAGTACTCCAGGATGGAGTAAATACATGATTGAATGCATGATTGAAAGGGCAGACAAGGACTTGATGGATGTTAGTGAAAGTGGGTATGATGGGTATGTAGCAATATCCTTGTAAATTTGGCTTAAGAGTATGTAATCATTGCATCATTTTGGAGTTCTGTCTACTGGAATCAATTTTAGAAACAAATAAATGAATGTTGAGGGTTGCAGGTGGTTATGGAAAATAGAACATGTTCCTCTGTGTTGCCTTACAGGCTCAGAAGGCAAAGCCAGTCATTAGTGTGACAAAAACCAAAAAGAATCTCTCCAAATCCTTGGCAGATTAACTTTGGCATTTTACTGCTGACAGTTCTGAGCAGTTCATTCATGAGTGAATTTCTGTATTAAAATTAAACAGTGAAGTTTATGTAAAATCAACATAAGTGCTTCATCTTTAGCTTTGCTTAGTTGCAAAGCTGCATTGTGAAAAAAGCAAATTAAATGTTCTGTATAATTGAAATTTCTCCAGTAGATTAATACTAGGCAAATCTAGTACCTGATAAATGCTTGAAAGATTGAAATAAATAAATTTTTTTTGCCACCAGGCTAAAGTCTGTCATCTCTGAAGAACCAGGATTTCAGCTTTTCTATCCTAGTCCTTCTGTTAAAGAGAGGAAAAAAGTCCCCCTTGTGGATGCTTAATCTCCTGTGGTGACTCAATTCATGAGATCCCAAACCCATTCGATCTCACTCGGGGAAGAGTTAGCCACGAAACATTTATCAGTAAATCCTCCCAGGAAGAGCAGATCTGTGAAGACAGAGAGCTGTCTGTGCTGCTTCTGCTGTTGACTGTCTCCATGTGCTGGGAAGGGGAGAGGAAGAGAAATATTATGGAGGTGTGAACTGAAATAGTTTTTTTTGAGGGGAAAGATAATGAAAAGAAACAGTGCTGTGGATACTGAGTATGGCAGAGAGGTGAGGAGAAACAGTGCAGTGTGCCTGGCTGCAGGCAGTGGTAAACGTAAATAATCACTGTGTGTTCTGGCTTCACAAGAGCTTATGGAGATGAGACCGAGTTGAATTGAGGAGTCTGTGCTCCTCACAGCTCTTCCTCTAAATGCCTGTGTGTTTAGGCTCGTGCTGCTGTGGTGCACTGTATTCATGTAAACTTCTTAAAACTTCTTTGCAGTGGTAGAAAAAAGTATATTTTAACTCCAAATAAGCAAGGAAAGCTGTTTTCTAAACTTAAAAACCCTTTTACTTACATCGTAAGCTTAAAAGTGTTTTTAATCTCCTCAGTGATGTTTGTTTGTTTGGAGGTTTTTTTGTTTTTCTAAATGATAAATCAGGTTAAAAAGATGACTTAACATCTTACCTGTTGAAGTGGGAGGGTGAGCACTGGGTACCTACTGCAGCAGGGTGGAGCAATCCAGTGTAACTGAGGTTATGTGAAAGTAATCATATGGGACACTTCAAAGAAACTAAAATATTGCTGGAACATCAGTTCTGAAAAGTAGTGAAGATAAATAAGTTGGGTGTTTTTAGGCTAATCATTAAAGGATTATCTGAAAGGTGCCTTTTTATAGGTGCAATTCAGCAGTTTAAAATCCCAGCTTGAAGTGTGCTGTGTAATGAAAGAACAGACCTATCTAAAAACTCAGAATCTTGATATAAAACTGGAAGATCCCTAATTACATGTGGTTAATAAAGGTTTTCAGTGATGCTATGCAAGCTTATAAATCAGAAAGCTAAGTATGTATTGTTGTGTTCAGTTTCATGTAGGGATTGTCTGGATTAAAATGCAGTTGTGTTCTTAAAGCCAAGTATCCAGGGTTCCTGTTGGAGTGACCTCCAGCTCCCCAAAATGGAGACGTGGACAGTATCTCAGGAAACTCTTGTGCAGTAACAAGTAGTGGGGTTTCCTTGGTTCATCTCTGGCAAATGTTTGGTCATAAAATTCTCCACTGAATGCAGTTCAGCAGCTTCCTGGGTGTTTAATTTGCCTGTTGAAGTTTTTAGGCAGTATGTCCTGCATCTTTCAGTATTTTCACACTAAGCTGATACTTTTATATTTGCTAGAGTAGCCACCTAAACTACTGCATGTTACCCTCTTTGTGAAAATATTTATCTGTTTAGAGGTAAACACTTTGTTCTTTTTAGCCTGATGTGGACTGGTTCACTCTTGCTGATTTTTATTGAAAATCTTTGTTTCTGTGCTTTATATAGACCATCTAAATTGGAAGTAGCATTTCAGCTGTGACCTGTTAGGTATGCACAAAGATCTCATTAATTTTGATTTCATCTCACTGGTGTATGCTTTTGTATACCAACTGGGGATCATTTGTCAGGGTTGGTAATATCTAAATACATAAAAAATATAAAAAAGTTTTTATTTGATCTTGATTTTCTAACCATCAAAAGTTATTGCATTTGTACATGGTGTATATAACTACTTAGACTGGTAAACATGCAGTTACTCAAATTACTAAGTTTTATTATGTTACTCTGATTAAATTGTTTTGTTCCCTTGTGCTCTTTTGTGGGAAGAGCTCAAATAATTTTAGAAGTTATTTAATAAATTTAAATGATATTGCATTTATTGTTGCATGTTAAGTGATTTATTAGTACTTGTGTTTTGCCTAATACATGTGTTTTAGCTGTTGGTGAATGGAACAGTGTTTCTTGGCAATGTGCTCTTCAGAGCTGTAAAACTTACTGATGTTGTCTTGAACCTGCTTTTATCTGTTGATATATGGAAGAAGAAAACCAGGGTTTGTGCTTTTTTTAGTTTGTAGTTGATTTTTTATTTTCACATGACCTAATTGTTTAACTGCAGAATTTTGAATTAATTGACTTGAAGCAGTAAAATATGACATCAGAGACTAATTTAACAGTGTAGTGTCCTTTGTTTTGGGGAGGTAGCAAAGGACCTGGCTGGGTAAGTAATTATTTTCCTTTTAAAATTAGGTATTAAGTATGTTGTTGTTAGTGCTACAGTTCTAGTCCATTAAGTTTAATTTAAGTTACAGATAACCTAAGACTTAACATATCTTTGAACTAAAACCATAGGTAGCTTTTTCTAATGCTTGTGTTTGTACAGTTTCATATTCCTAAGAGATGTTTCCTTATTTTTTAAAGATAGCTCTGGTTTTCATAACCGGTAGATATGCTATTGGTGGGTGTTTATTGTATAGGAATTAAGTCAAAATACTGACTGTTTTATTCTGTCCTAGGTGATTTGCAAGTCAGATGCTCCTACTGGGGATGTTTTGCTTGATGAAGCTCTGAAACACATAAAAGAGACCCAACCTCCTGAAACAGTACAAAATTGGATTGAACTGCTTAGTGGTAAGCCTTGGACATAAAGTATTTGCTTTTTTTGTCCCAATAAAGCTAATTATCTGGCATCACTAGAGATTATATTGTAAGGTTTTTTGAGAGAAAGTATGCAAAAAATTTAATTAGTCTGTCCTCTAGGGTAGTCTGTTGTTGATTGTAGGCTTTAATCAAATGTAAGTAACTGTTGCTTTTGACTTGGTAGAGAAAGGATCTGTGTGGAAGTGTCAGAGGACGTCTCAACTCAGTGGAAGAGATGCCTTCCCCTGCCCCTGAAGTAAATCAGAACTGCACCCGGGAGATGTAACTGCCTTTCTCTGTGTTTGAAATGAGGGTTAGTGGAAGTTTGGAGCCCAAGTGTGTGGATTCAGATCTTTTGATAAAGAAAGGAGATGAGGAGCTCAGAGCCCAGATGTAAAATCTGAGGATGATTTGGCCATGAATCATAAAGTAGCAATAAATAGTCAGGAGTTCTGTTCTTCCATTAACTGAAGAAATGTAATAAATATTTTAAAATGTTAGATACTCTTTGTTCATTTAAACCAAGTCTTCAAATAAGTACTTGCACGTAGCTCTTCCTGTAAAGCTAGTAAGCTGTTGCAAAAGAAAGAGATGTCAGTTATCTTGGAATTAGTAATAGTTTGGGATGGAAGGGCCTAATCTCAGTCGACCCTCATTCACTTTAAACCATTCCCCTATGTCCTATCTCAACAGACCCTGCTAAAATATCAGTCCCAAGCTTCTTGTAGGCCCCTTTCAGGACTGAAAATCTGCACTAGGGTTTCCCTAGTGCCTTCTCTTCTCCAGGCTGAGCTGTAGACAGAATTAATCACCAGTGTCTGTCCTTTATCACAAAACACATAAAATGCAGCTTCCTTGGACTAGGTCAGAGCTGTACTTCAGTTGTGCAAACAGTGCAGGAAAAAATCCACGAGTTTTGTCAACAACATGTCTGGGAGGTCAGGGGTGATGAAACTTGGAGGTTGCCTGTCTGAATCTGTTACTTCTTACAACCAACGTATGAGAGCTGTGAAAATGAGCAAAATCTATTTCTCTGCTTTCTTTTCATTATGTTCCATTCCTCATGTACCACCTTAAACAGCCTTTCTTGCACAGCAGTTCATACTCAGGTCCTTCCCATCCATTCTCTCTCGCTCCTTGGCTGTCAGGCACAGGGGGAGACAGGAGTACAAAGCAGCCCTTGTCAGGGGGCATGGCTGCTGCATACATAGCCCTCCAGTTCATTTCTTGCTCAGCTCTTCTTCATTTCTGCAGCCTGCAAAAACAATTCATTTTTCTGGTCCCAAATATATAATTTCTGCTGACATTTCACCTCTCCCAGTGCAGAGCACATCACGTTAGGACTGATTCAAAAAAAGGTCAACTAATAAATGAACAGTGTTGTA